GGCGGAGTAAATATCCAACAATAAAGAACTGATTAAATAAAGTATGCTCTATTAAAATAATAATATTCTAGAAGATTTAATGACAGGTAAACAGATCATAATATTTTAAGTAAAAAAAAAGTAGGTTACAAACTAAGTATCTAAATTGGGGTTGTTTTCATCCAGGTTACAAAACAATGTCTACTTAATAGTCCCCTTTTTGTGGAAAATAACTTTCCTACATATTTCATTTTTCTATACTTACTTTACTATTTCTATGTATATCTTCTCAGCCAGTCTTAACAAAAAATGTATATAACTGGTATTACTATTCCCACTTTAGAGATAAGAAACTAAGTTTCAGGAAAGTTAAATAGTCCTTTTTCTGGTTCAATCCTTTGATTACATCTTTTGTTTCTTTTAAAACTTCACACAGGTGGCTTACAATACACTCTTCTTAATCTCAACTGCTGAAGTTCTTGGAGGTTATAAATCTCATGTTCGTTGTTTCTGCTGACTTTCATTCATGGTAGCCAGTTTCCTTGTGTTAGTTGGTGATTTTTTATTGTCAGCACATATTCGATTAAACTTAATATATGGGAATCCTTAATATCTAAATTGAGGTTGCTTTCCTCCAAAGATAATTTGGGGGCTGCCTACTGGGAAATACTTTAGCTCCTTCAGGATTCTCAGCTAAATACTAGAGTCTGTAAGTAGTTCAGCTATCCTACCTTGTGGCAAACTTCCTCGGCTTCTTCTCTGGAACATGGGGTTGATACTGTTATTTGCCTCTTGACTTAGGAGTTTGTTTGTCATTCATCATTTTTATTTTACCTCATTGCAGGTTTGCCTTTTGGGGTTTCCCTTGCTTTGTGAGCAATGCTTTAAAAGGTATACTTATTGTAGTTTACTCAGGGTCTAGTTGTATTATAACAGGGGGATAGCCTGCCATCCTACTACAAGGGATAGTGTGACAATTCTTTTTCTACTACACTTTACTCAGTGAATTCACTATTCATTTGCACGTTCATTCACTTTCTCAAACATTCTCTCATTCACTAAATATTTACCGAGTACCTACTGAGTGTCAAGCCCTGTGCTAAAGCTTTTAACTGGAGCTGAAAGCAACTTTCTGAGCTTCACAGTATATGTGGATGTCTGTATATCTTTTCAGTGGCTAAAAACCACATTTTTCTTAAAATATATGACAGTCACTCTGAGTGCCAAAGAAGTAAGAAGCATCAGTTACTGGAGTTTAGGGCATCCAAGAAGATAGTTTAAGTAAGATCCTAATAACAATCCTAGTAATTTTAGAGAAAAATATGACAGCTCTTATCTGGTAGCAGCTTGTTGATGATTAAGATGCCCGTAAAGTACTTGGAACTTCTTCAAAGGAAATCCGCTGATAAATACAAAACGCCAACTTCATTCTAGTCTGCATCTTGTGACAATAATGTTAGAGTTAGAGAAGCAAATCCCAGAGTGCCCTGTTCTCTAGGCAATTCAGTCATTCAAGAAAATTTACTGGTGCATCAAGTGTGTCTCAGAACAAGAAATAACCCCTGCCTTAAGAATCCCACACTCGCCCTGGCTGATGTGGCTTGGTTGGTTGGGCGTCGTCCTGTACACTGAAAAACGGTTGCAGGTTCGATTCTCGGTTGGGGCATGAGACCGGGTTATGGGCTTGATCCCTAGTGGGGGATGCGCAGGAAGCAGCTAATCGGTGTTTCGCTCTCACACATCAATGTTTCTCTCTCTCTTCCTCTAAAAATCAATAAAATTCTTAAAAAAAAAAAGAATCCCACATTCTAGTGTGAAAGGCAAATTATCATACAGTGTGGTAACTGCGAAACAGAAGTGTGTGAGTTTACTTGAGCGGGGCCCAGAGGAAACACACTGGTAAACAGCCACTGCTGGTAAAGTCAACCAGGGTCAGGCACGAGAAGCTGGCATCTTTGCTCCTCTTACCTCTTCTGTTGTTCTTCCTGATACTGTTGCTTTATTTTAGCTTCATTTTCTATGGCTTCTTTTATCCTTTCCTCTAGTTGCTTCTTTCCCAAAATACAAGCATCTGTGAGACAGACTTTATGAGCGTGTTCTAATTTCTGCTGCAGATCCAAAATCTTGAATGAAAAAAGTTGACAAACAAAACTTGAAAGAAAAGTATGGCCTATTTTCCAATGAGGGAAATACGATATGAATGGCAAACACAGTCGCGCAAATCTGACCCACGTAAAGGGCATGGTTAGGTCTATTTTAACTTGAAAACAAACTGTTTAGTTTTCACAATATGTAATACATTCCCAAAGCTGTGTATAAACAAAGCTATATGGTGAAAAGTCTCCTTCCCAGCCCTAACCTGCTCTCCTCCACCAAACAGGTGATCTCTGCTATTAGTTCCTTGTATACCCTTCCAGAGGTTTATTTGTCAATATATAAACAAATATTATTAATAGTTCTATCACACATACTTTTTACACAGATGATGGCATATTATACTTATGTACTTTGCTTTTAAAATAAAAATATACTCAGTGATTTTTCCATATTGTAAGTACATATACAATTGTATTCTCTTTTATGGCCACATACTATTCCACTGTAGAATATACCATAACTCATTTAACTAGCCTCCTACTGATAAACATTTAGGTTAATTCCAATCTTTTGCTATTATAAATAGTGTCTCTAGAATAATTTATGAGGTGTGGATTTATCAGGGCAAAGGTTATTATTATGTGTTTGTTTTGACAGGTAAGACCAAACTGCCTCCATAGGTGTTAGACCAATTTGCACTTGGAACAGCAGCGTGTGGGGGTCCGGTGTTTCCACAGTGTGGCTACATTCATGTATGATATCTCAAAATAAAGTCAAAGTCTCTTACAAACCAAGTACCAGTTAGCATATCACCTCGCACCAGTGCAGGTTCTTTAATACCCTGGTAACACTAAAAATAAGATATATGAATGTGAAAGAGAGATACATAATTTTATTTTAGAATTTATACGTTAGATTAAAAGTGTCATTAAAAATGTTTTTGCTAGATAAATATCCTTTTAAACTTGTTTTACTTATTTTTTATAAGCCTTCCTGTCACCTAAATTTGTGATTGGTACTTAGTAAGTGTTCAATAAATGTTTGTTATATGACTAGATTTCAGAATAGCTGTTTTACCTCCAGAAATTTCTGTTCTACCTCCAGAAATTCATTGTATTTCTGACCCAACAACGAATCCCTTACAATGGTTTGCCACCGTACTCCCCACAAACATTCAGTGAATGCCAGTGGATGGCAGACCTTTTCTAAGAGAAGGTCTTTCTGCATCAGCCCTAAGCTTTGGCACTTAGGACCTTGCAAAACCCACACACACACTGTAGGAGAGATAAAGATGCAGAACGACTCAGGGCAATGGCTGAGGCTAGGTCTAGTTCCTATGAGCTGCCCCTTTTGATTCTGTGCTTAGGGAAAATGCTCACTTAAAGATACTCAGTCCTAATTCCACAAAAGAAAGTCTCAGTCCATTGGCTTCTCTGTCAAGGACAGATGCCAAACTTTTGAACCCACCATCCAATTTAAGAAAGAGGACATTTCCAAAACTTTTGAAGTCCACTCTGAGACCCTCATCAATTATACCCCTTCCTGCTCCACCTGAGAAAACAAGAATCTTCAATTTTTTGTTAATCATTCTACAGCAGGTACCTGTAATTCATTCATTTCCACTGTTGCATGCTGTTGTGTAAATATACACTTTATTCATTGGATCTCATATCAGTGGGTGCTTGGGTTGTTTCCAATTTTCTGTTTTTTAAAACAATGTTACCATGAAATGACTGGATTTCTGCCTCCTGATACTTATGTGCAGTATGAAAGTTTCTCTAGTATTTATGCCTAGTAGTAGAAGTGCTGGGTTGTATAGTATATACATCTTTAACTTAACTAGAAACCAATGCCAAACTGCTTTCCAAAGTGTTTACTTGGATTTACTCTTCCAGCTGCAGTCAGTATGATTTCCTGCTGCACAAAACCCTCACCTATATTTGGTACTGTCTAAATTTTAAAATTTTACCAATCTTTATCAATTACTTTCTTATGGAACAATAACATACATGCAGTAAAGTATACATATCTTAAGCATTCTCAGTAAAATTTTACTTATAAAACCACCTCCCAGACCAAGATACAGAATACTTCTAGCACCACAGAAGACTCCCGCATGTCCCCTCCCAGTTTAAAAGCCCTTTTAGAGACAACCATTATCCTATCACCACAGTTTAGTTTCCTCTGTTCTTGAACCTCATATAAATGAAATTAAACAGCATGAACTCTTTTGTGTTGACTTCTTTAGCTCAACATTAGACTTTTGAGCTTAATTCAGATTGCTGTCATCTACTTCTTGATGTTAGTTTTATATTTATATAGTTAGATAAAATGACTTTTTTAAATATAAAATTTGACTCAGACAAACCTACAGATCCAAATGGGCAACTGTTTCATCCTACTGCCACCCAGTGTCAGGACATCTAAAATGCAAGGGCAACATTTCAAAACGGCTCATCTCACAACAAATTCTTCTAAAATTACAAAATAAAAATCATGTAAATGCCAATCCAAATGAGAGGAGAGGCAAATAAGCCTTTTAAAATTTGAATGTATAAAACAAAAGTCATTTGGTCTCAGTTCTTTAAGTTATTGCTTTAATGAAACACCTTTATATAGTTCATGCAGTTTGAAAAAATACACAAGATTTACTGGAATTGTAGGAGCAGGTGAAGCCGATGGCAGCAAAGCACAAGAGAGTAGAGAAAAGCCCTAGAATTTTATCAAGTTTGCACCATATCTGCATCTTAAAATCCTTAGGGAAACGGGATTTCAGTAGTGGGATCCAGCGTGTGTTACTTATTAAGCGTAAGGATAATTACCTTTTCCTCTGCATCAGCAACTTTGGATTTCTCCTGAGCCAGCTTTTCCTGTAGGGTGTTCTGTGATTTAATGCTCTGAGCCTGTGTAAGTACTTCCAGCTCCAGCTCCTTGATTTTCTGCTGACAGTGCTTCCACTCGGCTGGGGGTGAAGAGCATATCCTTGCGCGGTCTAATAACTTCTGCTGGGCCTGCTTGAGTTCAGTTTTGATCTAGAGGTGGGGAATAAATAACAGTGATGGAAGTAAGCATGGCATGAATGTGAATGTGAGCCAGAATGAGCAGCTTTCAAAGGAATGCAGTCCCCCAAGAGCTGACAAACACCAGTCATGTGGCTGATCTCTCTGGGGCGGCCCTGTGTTAGTAAGGTTTGCCAAGGTCGATCTCTCCAGATGGCAGCTGGACAAAGGGATTTTCCTGAGAGTTTCAATGCATGCATGGTCTAAATATTTTCTACCCTTTTTCTATCACTCCAAGCTGGCTTTCATTCCCACTACTCCATGAAGCTGCTTTTGCCAAGGGCACTATTGCCAAAGTGAATCCAACGGACAGTTGACCTCTTAGTGGCACTCACTCCCTCCCTCTCAGAAAGTTCTCCTCCTCTCTTGGAATCCGTGATACAAAACTCCCCCGATTTTCACTTCCCTCTCTTCTGTTCCTTCTTGATCTCTTTTGTAGACTGTTCTAACGCTACCCAACTTCTAAATGTGATTGGATTTAACTAGGCCTTGACAGTGGGTCATCGTCTCTCTTGGATCATTCTCATGATTTAAACCACCTTTATGCCAGGTAACTGCCGAAGTGAAACTCCTTTATCTGCCCATATCTCTAAAATTTTCTCTTAGTCTTCCTGATTATAGTAAATGATGCCACCATCTAGCCTTCTATTCAGGCCAGTAACCTGAGGGTTATCCGTGAGGCTTCCTTTTCCATCAGGAGCCAATTCAGAGCAAGCTGTCACTCTGCCTCCACAACAGATCTTGCATCAATCCATTTGTGCCTTTTATGTCACCACCCTAGTCTAGATCATCTTCTCTAGACCTGGCCACAGCAATAGCCTTGACCCTGGCCCTGCCATTTCCATTTTTACTCCCTTCTCATCTGTTCTCTGCACAGCAGCCAAAGTGTTCTTTTTAAAACATAAATTGAACTACTTGACTCCCTTCCTTAAATATTTCAGCGGCTTCCCATCACTCCGGGAACAAATCCCAGCAGCTTGCCTGGCCTTGTAAGATCCAGCCCTTGCAGACCTTTTTAAAATCATCTTGTCATGCCCCCTGCTTCCACTGATCTCCTGTCACACTGGTTATCTATCATCTATCTGTCTATCTATCTGTCTATCTATCTATCTATCTATCTATCTATCTATCATCTATCATTTTTATTGATTTCAGAAAGAGGAAAGGAGAGGGAGAGAGAGATAGAAACATCAGTGAGAGTCATTGATCAGCTGCCTCCTGCACGCCCCCAACTGGGGATCGAGCCCACAACCCGGGCATGTGCCCTGACCGGGAATGGAACCGTGACCTCCTGGTTCGTAGGTAGATGCTCAACCACTGAGCCGTGCCGGCCGGCCGCGCTGGTTTTATTTAGAGTTTCCAACACAACAGACGCCACTGTTTCCTCCGCTAGGAATGCTTTCCCTTTTCCCTCCTTATGGTATGGTTTGGCTTCTGTCTCTTCTTCAGGTCTTAGCTTAAACATCACTTATAACAGAAAACCTTCATGATCATTTAATCTGAAGAGGTCTCCTTACTTACTTTTTACTTATTATAGCACATTTATTTCCTTCATAGAACTTACCACCATTTATAATTAAACATGTATTTGTCCAGTTGTTTACTTCCTTCCTCCTCACTCTAAATTCCCATCAGGGACCACGTGTTTTACTCCTCAGTATCCGAGGCCTACCCAAGTGCCTAAAGTAGATGATTAATCAATATTTACTGAATAAACACATGGATGGGTGACATCCTAAGGAATATCAGAACCTGGCAAATGGACGGACATACGAGGCAGGGCTCACAGACAAAGCTGCTGAGACAAAGCTTACTTTACCTTATGTGAAAACAGAACTTCCTGGCTCAAAGCTTTTCTTTCTTTCTTTTTTTTAAAGTTAACCAGAGAGCTCACCTCGTCCACCCGCCTATGGACACTATATATGGGGAATTATAAAGGCGAGTGAGAAATGTCGCCCCGCCCCCGGGCCCCGGACCGCCCGGGCCGTGCCCCCGAGTTACCGCGACGCTTTCTTCCTGAAGGAAGGCGTTGTGCTGCTTCAGGTCCAAGCTCCTGGCCCGCTCGTACCGCAGCTCCTTCTCGGCCGAGCTGCACAGAACCTGCAGGCGCTGCAGGTTCTGGCGAAGCTGTTGTACTTCCTCTTGCTGCTGGTGCTTCGGCTTTTCTCTAGATGATGGACTCTAAGGCAAACATTTGCAAAGAGAAACGTGGACCGTTAGAAAGGCTCCTGCTAAGACATGGGCTCCGGCTGCCAGAACCGATTGTCACAACGTGATTATTCACATGTCAGGTGGCACATGGTCATACAGCTCCCGTTACATTAGAGTAAAAATATCAAAGAAACGATGTGAACAAAGGCAGTTACGCATAGACAATTAACTTTCTTATTTTTCATATCAGTGAAGGGGAACAGAAGCACGGACAATTTTAGAGTAAAACTTAGGCCTCTTCAGTAGAGTCAGACGACTGTGACCAAAGGAGAAGTCGTTAGGGTTTTCTCGTCGTAGGTGGGCACACACAGGTGTGCCGGGTAGACAAGAATTCAACCTTATCCAGTTCAGCAGATAAGATACACTCGGGGTTTCCAGGGCCCCAGTCCGGCATGCCTCCTGTCTGTGGCTTTTGAAAAGCCCATGCCATTACTCTCTTTCTAGCTTGCTTACAACAGAATTACGACACAGAATTTCCCAAGGCCTGTTAGCCCTTAAACTCCTATCGGGGTTCGCCCAGAAAGGCGATCTAAATCCAATTTGCTTGCCTTAGAGCTACAAGTGTCTAAGATCCCTAGAGAAAATTCTTTAATGGAATTACAAGGCAATTATTAAGAAGCATAGTTTTGGAATTAGAGACATTTGGGTTTGAATCCTGAATCTACCACTTACTAACTGGGTGATTTTGGAAAACTACATAGTCTTTCTAACATTTCATTTTTCTCATCTTAAAATGGGGATAAAATGACAACTACTGGATGGAATAAAGGGTTAGCCAGCGCCTGCAAGGACTGAGCATGACGCTGGCATGGGATAAGCACGCAGCCACACTCCCCATTACTGCTGAGGCTGCTGACCTTCCTTCACCCTAACTGCCTTCTTTCACCTGGAAACAAGAGTTTCCTGAGGCCTGCAGAGCTTGATCACCACGCTCGCCTTTTACGTAACTATCACACAGCAGATTTTAACGATTAGTTAATAATCAGTAGCCTATTTAGCTACTTAACATACTAAAACAGAGACATGCAAAAGAAGGAGCAATTTATACCAATGGAACGAACACGTTTTTAGCCTATTTTGTGTAACCACTAGGCTGTACACCTGAAACTAATACAAAATAACGCTGAATGTAAACTGTAATTGAAAAAAATTCTTTTAAAGGTCAAGTTCTGGTCAAATTATTTTAACCTCTGTAAAGCCTCAGTTTCCTAATCTATAAAGTAGAAACAATAATATTCCTGCCTCACTGTGCTGCTTAATACATACTGGGTATTCAGTATAGTGCTTAGAACATAGTAAATACTCAATAATACTCAATAATGTCGTTCAAAAATACTCAATAATGTTATTAAAACCCCATGAAGCTGGGCTTTAAATGTGTAAAATTGAGATTTCATGGTGGTTCAAGCTTGTTTCAAGAATATTGGGAAAGTAACATCTAGAATTCAGCTGTCACAACCTCACCTGGAACAGTGTCAAACAGCAGAAATTAAGCCCTAAAGGCCATCAGCAGCCACAAATACATATGAATGAAAGAGCTCACACACTAGAGAGGCTCTCACAGTTCTTTTTCTATGTATTTACCCACATAAGCATTCTTTAGAGTGTGGTATCTGATGTCAGCCTACAGTTGCTTAAATCTGCACATTATGAAATGAAGGAGACACAACACACACAGAGAGCAGCTAGATACTAGACACTCTAATCTGACAACAGGGTGCAGACCACAAAACTGCACAAACACCAAGAACTAAAAAGAACAATCCATACTCATCAGTAGGTCAAAGAACCCTCTACACAGAAAGGGGCTCTGAAATCATCACTGCTCAGCTCACTGCAGGAAAAAAAATCTGTCTAAAATGTATTTTCATCCTGGCCTGCTTAAAGAAGTAAATGAAATGGTGTGTGTTACAGTGCTTTGGGAAATGTAAAGTTCAAAATACAAATATGTTATTTCTTTTCCATGAGGTCCACAGCTATCTTGTTTACTGGATCTCAAAATAGTTGTCAGAAAGGTATGTGTAGGGGAATCTTAATTTGTACAGAATTAACCTGTAAAATTGAGGTATAAGAACTGAAGTGTGACTGCTGGTCACTCCTTTCATTTTTCCTGGAGGCAGATCTCTGGTAAATAGCAAAAGCCATGTTTAAAACAGTTCTGCATCTGTGGTCTTTTCTCTCCAAAACAAAGTATTTTGTACATCTGAGCTAAGTACCAAGAGTAGAAAATGTGGCACAAATCCTGTCATTCCCTATCCTACCTGCTAGGGTGGACAGCGACAAGTAATCAGCATTTTTTCCCCGGTGAGCCTCAATGGAACCTAAGAACCCTTTATAACAAAGTACATCAACTGATGGGCTTAGTTCAGATTTTGGCTGCTATCTTATTACCATTCAAGCTGTGGTTATGATATTGTTTAACAAATATACATTTAATGATAATAGAAAAAAATATTTTTATCCACAGCTGATCAGAGGAAATGGCCCTGGTCAGAGCATGAGTTTACTGCACCTACCTCGGTATTACCCCCATATCTCTGAGACTGAAGGAGGCTCTGATTTATACGGCTCAGCTCTTCTTTAAGCCTCACAACTTCCTCAAGCTTCAAGGTAAAGTGCTGTTCTTCACTTTTCATATCTTGGTTCTGCTGCGAGTCCTCTTTCTGCCTCTCTCTTGGAAAAGTGCCCTCCTCTACTGCCTCCGCTGGACTTTCCTTCAGCTTACTTTCTCCTAGTTCAGAACTTGGTTAAATAGAACAATAAAAGACTATCAAAATGCTCATTCTACTGGCAGAATATGGAGGGGGGAAAAAACTACCAGTCAAGAAAGTACTACAAGCAAGGTTTTCCACTTGGATTCTATAGCAGGTTGGTTATCTTTTTCTTTTTTTGAATACATATTTATTGGTTTCAGAGAGAGAAAGGGAGAGGGAGAGAAACATCAATGATGAGTCATTGCTCGGCTGCCTCCTGCACGCCCCTGATTGGGATGGAACCCGCAGCCCGGGCATGTGTCCTGACTTGGAATCGAACCTCGATCTCCCGGATCCTAGGTCGACACTCAACCACTGAGCCAGGCCGGTTGGGCCTATCTTATTCTCATAATTAAACCTTAAAAACAAATGAGTCTTATTTTTTTACTCACTCGCAGCAGATGACACATCATAGACTTGTGTCTACACTCAAACAACCAGTTTGATATGGCATTTTTAATATGGCGTTGGGCAGATAGAGCTCATAAAGATTAAAAAAAAAATCACTCAGTAAGCACTAGGCACTGTGGCAGGCACTAGGGCTACAATAGGACATAATCCCTGCCCTGAGGAGTGTACAATTTAATGAGAAATAATGATAAGTGAACAACTGATTAGATTAAATAATAGTAAGTAATCTAAGGCCTGAGAGGTAAGTAGACACAAGCTAGGCAAATGTAAAGGATGAAGTGTGTGCATACAGTAAACCCTTGATTTTGTGGACCTTGATTTAATGGACCAATGGACAAAATTTCTGGTCCATTTGTCATATGTGAAAATTAACATCCTGATTTTTGTTGTTGTTTTATTTACTTTTATTTTATTTTTTTATTGTTCAAAATACTACAGATGTCCCTTCATCCCATTAATTTTAAAAGGCTTTTAACTAAGATTTGCTTAAAATTAAACAGGTTATTTTTTGTTAGTAATTCACTGTTATTTTTAACAAATTTTAGTGAATAGGCCATATGTCAGAAAAAACACTGACGTAATTTCAGCAACATAAATAAGTACTACATATCTAGAACTATAGCCTACATATTTAAATCCAAGAGTCACTGCCTGTAAACAATGTGTGGCAAATGACTGACACAGGATCACACCACATCTCAGTAGGTAACTGGTTTGTTGTACCGTGGTGTGGCTTTCTGCAGCAGTTTTAATGCATGTAGTCCAATGTTCCCACACGAACTAAGCCACACCCCAGCCATGTGCATGTTTACTCGCAGTGACTGACGAATGCCCGCATTTACTAGACCTATTCAGTATAAATTTAAATTTACTGTAATACATATAGAAAACTTTTCTGTGTACTTTTAATTACATAAACATGTCTACATTAGTGAAAAATGATTAATTTGTCAATTTTTTAACATACACATTCGGAAAACCTACTTTATTATATAATGGACTTTCGGCTTTCACAGACACCCCCTTTCCTGAATTAGTCCGTATATCAAGGCTTTACTGTGCACTATTCTAAGGGTCAAAACCAGACTTTCTTTTCTCCCCACAACAAACCTAAATGCTGTGACCTATCTCCTTGGCTCTTTGCTCTTGTGACCACTATCACACCTATTCCTCACCGTCTCTCCAATATGGTCTTCGCCCTTCTGCAACTAGGTAGGCTTCATGATTGTGAATCTTGGATTCAGAGCTCACTCTAAATTTAAAAACCAGTTTGTAAGAGACAATAAAATTCAGAGGCCCCAAACTGGCAAAACAATCTCCTCTTTTAGAACATTCATTAAGATATAAATTTGGCTGCACCTCCACAGTATTTTCCCAGTTCATTGATGATGTACCCTCTAGTATGGTATATAAGTAAAAACTGGCAGATATTGTTTCCTTTCAATGATCTAATTTTAGGCTTTTGCCCAGGCAAAGTTTGATTGCATCTATTAGTTTGTGTGCAAAAACAGAGTAGTGCATCTACCCAAGCCTCAAAGTTTCTGCGAAAGATACTTTTGGTGAAAAAGTAGATACAAGAGTTAGAGGACAAGATAGAAGAAGAAAGAATCTGGCCGGCGTGGCTCAGCAGTTGAGCATCGACCTAGGATCCAGGAGACCACGGTTCGATTCCTGGTCAGGGCACATGCCTGGGTTGCGGGCTCCACCCCCAGTCGGGAGTGGGCAGGAGGCAGCCGATCAGTGACAACTCATCATTGATGTTTCTCTCTCTCTCTCTTCCTCTCCCTTCCTCTCTCTGAAATCAAT